AAGCTCCAGAGATCTCCATGGATAGCATTATTCTAGTGCATTCAACCATAGTCCACAGTTCTACAGGTCCCAACTTTGAAAGTCCATGCATTTGGTCTTGCCAGGGAATGCATCAGACATAATCAAATAATGGGACATGGAATCATGTAGATCAAAAAGCACAAGAAACTGACAATATATAACCAATATGCCCATATTGATGTATAATTAACAGTAGCCTGGGACCAAATTCTGATTTTCATAAGTGGTCTGTTTCATCTATGTCAAAATGCTATGTTAGCCAGATTATAATAAGACAGTTGCTTAGCAGAAATGGACTTAGAACTACGGAATTCAGTTATTTGATTTGATTGTTTAATGTCATTACGTTTCATGAAGACTGAATTGCATATAGCATTTAAAAGTGCTGGCTCATGTTTATGAAGGGAATATATTGGATGGTTAAGGGTACAGGATCTGGAGCCAGTCTGACTTGATGATGCAAAGCCCAGCTCCTCTGCCTAATAATTGTGCAACCTTGCACAAGACATCTGGCGTTTCAGTTGCTTTGGTTGTATAACAAATACCCCAAAACTTCATGGTGTAAAATGACTATGCTCATGATTCTATGTGCCAGACATTTGTATAACGTCGAGTGGGGATAGCATGTCTCTGTTTCACCCTTTCTGGACATCAGTTGGATGACTTGGAGGCTAGGGGTTAGATTTATCTTCAGCTGACTCACTCACTCACAACTGGTACTGTTGGCTGAGACTTGAGCTAGGACTGTTCGCTGGAACACCTATACATGGCCTCTGGCCTAGATTCCTTACAATGTGGTGGCAGGTTCCGAGGGTGAATGCTCTCAAAAAGAGGGCCAGGCAGAAGCTGTATGCTTTCTATTATATAAACCAACCTGGGAAGTCACTTAGCATCATTTCTACCATCCTTGATTGGCTGGAAAAGCTACAAGTCTACCAGGTTCAAAGGAAGGAGAAATAGACTGTACCTTTGGATAGGGAGTGATAAGGTTCTGGAAAAAACATGTGAGACTGAAGATATTGCTGTGGCCATTTTTGGAAAATACAGTTTGCCTCAACTGATATCTCTCTGCGTTGTTCTTTCTTTTCTGTAACATGAGGATAATAATATAAAGTCTCAGACCATTGTTGCAAGGATAAATTCAGTAAATACTGCATTCCTAGCACAGCTCCTGGTTATGTAAGCACTCCCTAATATTAGCTTTTATTCTTTTTCTAATTCTCAATTTTGTCATCAAGCTAATGTAACACAGCATAACTAATACTAGAGTGGGAGTGGAATGGTTTTCAGAACTGAAGCGGTTGAGGCTTTGGGTCTGGAGGAAGGTTTTCTGTTGATAGGCACCGGCTATGTTAGTGTCCCTGACTTTATTTCATTTTTGCTTCCATTGCTTATCAACTTCTTTTAAAGTGACATATTCTTTTTAGGGAGAGGAGGGTTGTTAATATCTTACATTCAGTTACAGTAAAGATTTGCTATCCTGGTTAATTTTCTTTCTTCTAAAAGTGACTATGTAAGTCTCAGTTGTTATTCATTATATGTGGAATTTATATCTTAACAGGCAAGTTCAGCCTTATTTCTAATTTCTTTGCTGTATATCACAAAGTGAAACAGAAATATGATACAGGCTTTATATTTTTTCCCAAAAAGAACCAGTTCTCTGATTGGAAGTCCCTAGTCCCCACTTACCCAGTGAGAGATGGGAAGAAGGAAAAATAAACTGAAAGTGGAGAAAATTGAGGAAAAGTCCAAGTGGAATCCATGGCTTAAAGAACAAGAAAAGTCAAGGGGGGGAAAAATGAGTAGAACTACTATTGGTGTATTTTGAATACTCAACCTGTCTCCATTTTTCAGCATTTTTGCTGACAGAGGAGGAAGCCAAGCCTTTCCTTAGCAATGGGTCTTCCACACTTTGGGGATCATGGGCTAATTAAATAACCCAAGAAAAATGCTGTGTATAGTTTCATGAGGGTCACATACCTTCTGAAAGTCAATGATTCACCTAAAATAAAGAATTCTTGTTAAACCTGGACAATATGATTATCTTTAGAATAGTTTTTAATACAAAAACATATTGTATGATTTATCTTTATATACTTAAGATCTTCACCTCTCAAGTAGTACAGTATCAAATAGTACAATGAATGTGCCATATTATAATGGTGGTTATATTGCCAATCAGTTACTTCATAGAAGTTGAAAAACAAAATGTGTGTTTCCAAAGGGCACAATGTATGTATTTGCTAACTAGTATTATGTGTGTACATGCATTCATTCATTTACTAAAAACCTGTGCACTTACTTATGTTAGATCTTCGCAGTGCAACATCTCTTAGGGCAAACAAAATGATGGTCTCATCCCTCATGGAACTTACAATCTAGATTTTGTTCAGTCTTTATAAGCATAATCTTTATTTTCTAATAAAATACTGGGAAAAGAAGCAGTAATATCCCCGAAGTATCAAGGTTTAATGAAAAATTTGTGATAATAAAGAACAAACCATCACCAAGCAAGATATTTTCCTTAATAAATTCTAGACAATGTGGAAACTATTAACAAACATTCATAACGTCTCTTCGGTTCACCAAGCTATCTTCCCAATGTTTTACCATCTTAATAAATATTAATAATTGAAATTGAATAAATAATAATAAATCTATCTTTGAGAAAGTGTTAAATGTATTTAGGCCTTTTGGAATGTAATAATATGGAAAATGAAAGAAGTGAAAAAAATAAGAATTCTGTATTCCAGTTATCCTTTTATGGGCTATTTCCCTTGGACATATTTCCACCAATAATTATCATTCCCCCTTTGTGTCATTTACATTTAACAATATATTGGTTAAAATTAAACAAGTCAAAGTTGTGAGGTGGACTCTCAGTTAAACTTAATAAAACATTTTCAGTGTTGAATGAATACTATTATTTAAAATGAATAAAACTTAAACTTCATTATACATCTGAAGGTCACTGACTTTCAGGAATAAGTAGTGAACTGCTATATCCTTCACATATTCATTACTGGAAAATGATAATGTAAAATATTGTGACTGATGTAACATTTTGAAGATTTATTGGCATAATTACACAATTTGATTTTTTGGCATATATTTTAATTGCGATACATATAGTGGAAGAACTGGTATCATTCAAAAATTGAACACGTATGCATTTAGAAATAAAACTGCATGTTAAACAGTGAGCAAAGTATGTATTATAAAATATTTCCCCAATTAAGTTCCATTAAATAGGTGAAATGCAAATCCCATAACTTTGTATCACTTCTCTCAAATTAAATGTTTATGGTAGCCATCTAGAAATGGAAAGAAAAGCACCTGAGAAGTAGGATGTCCCAGATATCAGAGTTGTGCTTAGATTTAATCAAACAAACAAATGAACAAAATATTCAAAATGATGCCTATTCCTTTCTAAAGTAGAACATTTATCAATGTTACAAGTTAATCGCTTCAGGATTGGATTTTAATATTAATGATGATATCTAAAATTAGTATAGCTATCTTTTGAAAAGAATCTCCACCAAAGGAAAATATTAATAGAACTTTGTCCTCCTAACAAAAGACAACTCAGTGTGATTTTAGGCAAGTTTATAGATAGAAGTTACTGAAGTTTTAAATTATTGTGACAGAATTAAGACAAGGGCATTTAAAATGATTCTCAGTTGGTCATTTTGGCTTTTTGAAGAATAGCTATGACATAATATTTATCATTAGGGATCAATATGGATACCAGGCTTTCATGAGAAATATGTTTGTTGACCTTAATAAATCTTCAAGTGTGTAAATACAGAAATATTTGTACAGGCAATTTTCTGCTGAATTACATTTCCTCTATACACATTATCACATGGCAATATATTTTTTAACAACTTATACTAAAGGTTTGATGTGATGGCAATTTTCACAAAGAAACAATTTTAATTGCTTCAAAATGGTTATTTCTGTATCTAGTTATTTAATCATCATTATCATCATCATGATTAATCTGCATTTATATGTTTTGACAACTTATTTTGCTATTATAAATAACATTGTAATGAATAAAGCATTTTGCTTAGAATAGATTCCCAAAAGAGAAATTACTGGATTAACAGGTTTGAAAATATTTAAAGCTATTGATAAATACCGTATTTTTTAAGCAGTCAGTAAGTTTTCTGTAATGTAAAAAAAAAAAAAAAAACAGGAACTAAACTCAATTCAGGCATTTAATTTAAAATTATAGATATCCCCAAACTTGCCAATGAATAGTGATGCAAAGTTATTTTCTAAAGAGTTTATATTAGATTTGACGTATATTTATTTAGTCATGGAGGAGGACATTATAAAGTTCTCAACTGCTCACAGTAGCAGATTTAACTTTTATTTAAACATAACTAAAATATATTAATTGTAAACAATGACACTGGGTGCCTCTAAATTTTGAGTTCCCTATTCTCTCTTACTCTTTCCTTGTCTATGTTTTTAATGTTTTCTGTGAGTACCAACATTCTGAACTTCATGGAGATGAAATTCTAAGCTAGAAGGTACCATCTACTCATTTAAGCACAAGGGCTAGAGAAAAGGAGAAGAGGACAGGAAACTGTGAAAGTGCTCCTGGGATGCTGATTCAAGGGTCCCAGGATTGGGTACTTTTCAAGGCATGATCGAGGGAAGTTCAGGAAAAAGGCAGTGAAAAGAGGTGAAGTAAAAGTCAGACTAACTCTGATGAATCACACATTAATGTTAAAAAAAAAAGCCTGCATCAAAAAAGAATATTATTAAATCAACAAAGGATATTGGTATCAGGAGAAACATTTTTTGGTTATTTTGTTATTTTTCTACTATACATAATAGAGCATGTTTAGATAATTTAAAAGATGTAAAAATTCAAACAAATCCAAATTATTTTAATTGCATTTGTGTGTGTGTGTATATATATATATGCACAATTAAATTATATTTTTTTTATCTTCTAGAAAATAGTAGCTGATTCACTTGAAGAAAATCTGCATTTAGCTCGAGAGTATCAACAGCTACAGACTACATTCTTAAAGGAAAAGGACAATTATTTCAATATATATGATAAACAGCTATCACTTGATACTTCAATTAGAGACAAGAAACAGGTATTGGTTTTTCTAACTGTTTTAAGATAATGATTTATGTCGTATATGCACTATAAAAGTAAAAAGTAGTCAGTTTGGGTACCTCTGATCTGACGATGATACTCCACAACATGGCCTATTTTCTCTGTGTAGTTTTGTTGTATATTTATATCAACCTTTTAAAATTGAATTTTGAAAGAATATTGGAGAAATGAAAAACTTAGTTTCTAATCTACTATTCTATACTAACTTGCTTTTAATTAATATGACCAGAAAAGCCAATTTTTTATTTGTAGATTTAAATATATTATCATAGTCTTCATATTTGAATTCTAAGAGTGGGTGATTTCCCATGGTAGGCCTCTAAATTGTCTTTTTAGTATACAGGCTCCAAATTCTGGTAACTGTTTTCTTATTAGATATGGAGATTAATTGGAAACTTGGAAAAATAGCTGACTTTCTCTAATTACTGAAAATCATTGAGAATTCTAAATATATTTTGTAAAATCTTATGTAATGGTATGTGGAAAGGTAAAGCACACAATATGCTATGAATCAAAAAGGAAGAAAATGTCCCATTTTCTTATGTTATTTCTTAAGTGTGTTATGATACAGTCACTTCCTCTATGTTCTCCAGATAGTAACAAGAACAAATATTTTCCTTTGAATATTTGTTTTCCTCCAGGATTCAAATTTCAGAAAATATAGTTATTATTTCTTGACAACGTAACCATGAAAACCAAACTGATCCTTTCTCCTATGGGTATCACCCATATTGTTGCATTATAAATCAGTGGTTTAGAATAGTGGTGCTATGCTTATGGCTATAACGGAATGTTGGGAAGGCAAAGGGTGGGATTTGAATGCAAGTTCTACTAGCTCCATGATCTTGGCAAGTTGCTTTTTCCAACCTCAGTTTTCTCATCTATAAAATAAGGTTTACCTCACAAGTTACTTGGTAAATAATAAAAAAGAGCTATTCATAATAAGTTACTTTGAAATTTAAGGGCTGCTATACAACTGTAAGTAATTATTACATTCGTCTGGCATCCTCCCTATCTACTTCCTTATTTCCCATTCATCTACTCTCATGAGAGTAAAAGTTTCTGAATACATTAGGAAAGAGAAGAATGCATTTTTCTCTTAAAATCTTGAAATGATAGCAACATGAAGATACATGGAGGTACAAGTGTTTGGGAGGCTAAGGTGGGAAGATCACCTGAAGTCAGGAGTTTGAGACCAGCCTGGCCAACATGGTGAAACCCTGTCACTACTAAAAATACAAAAACTAGCCAGATGTGGTGGCATGCGCCTGAAGTCCCAGCTACTCAGGAGGCTGAGGCAGGAGAACCACTTGAACCCAGATATGGGCGTGGCAGTGAGCTGAGAATGCACTGCTGCACACCAGCATGGGCAACAGAGTGAGACTCCATCTCAAAAAAAAAAAAAAAAAAAAAATGAATGAAATAAGTGTGTTTGGGAAAGAATTGATAATACAACTATCTACCAAAATCTTAGTGTCCTCAAACCATTTTGCAGGATTCAAAGAAAGGGCATGTATGTATCTATGAATAATTTGTCCAGTCATTTCATGCATTTGACATTTTTATTTGAGGTTAAATATGTTCTACTTGTTTTTCATAATTGAGAAGGAGAAAATAATCATTGGCTTTACTGTATGTCCTTTTCTAATTGGGGGAAACAAAAATAAATTGTATGTACACTTATCAGTTTATAAAGAATCACTTGGTGGCAAATGACAAATACATTCAATACGTGCATAAATTGTGGAGACCCCATGCTTTTTAAGAAAAAGCTCTAATATCACATTTTCATAGTAAGAGAAAAATTATCTTGATCTCATTTTGGAATTAAAGCAAATCTTGATGCAAGATACAAGGACTGAGACTGTAGTAGGAACAGACAGTGGAGATTGCTAGGAGATTGGGTTTATGTTTGTGATCCCTCAGACGAATCACTTTTAGCACACCTGTTTCAGGGAAACTTCCAAGATTTATTTGTACTTCCAATCATTTTTCATTTCCATCCTTCAGCGATGGAGGTCATTAAGTGCAGGCTGCCCTTGTCAGTGTCATGTAGGATCAATTTGCTGCAATGGACAGAGAGGCCTTATAGATGCTGTTAAATCTGTCAGTGAGAAATCGTATGTCATTAGCGTCTAATGCACTGCTTACAGGATGGAATTTGGCCATCAAAAATGAGAAAACTCTTTAATATTTTAGTCCATTTCCTTGATATTGCAGCATTTCCCATGTATGCAGGTTTTAGTTCTTCGGCCAGTTTCGTTTGGGTACACAAAAGCACTATTCAGTCTCTGATTCCCTTGTTGAATTCCCTTGTCAGATGAAACGGATCTCACTTTTAGGAATTTTGTGCATCTTTTTCCTGTTTTAGACTAATGTCATTGCTTCTGAACATGAATTCCTTTTGCCAGGGTAAATAACTGTATTTTAATTATTGTGTTTCTTAGGGACTATTATTCTCTCTATACAAATTGTACATTTTCATACTTCTTGGTATTTTTATGCCGAGAGTAATAAAGTAAACCTAATGAAAGAGTAAAACAAATTTAAAATAATGTCCCCTTACTTAACACAATCTTACATACACATGTCTCAAATGTTAGAATGCTATAGTATTTCTCTTAGTGTTAATATTATGTCTGCTTTATTTGCTTGTGTTATTTTTGATACTTTCCGGTACTTTTAAAATTTGTAGTGATGGATATTTTTGCCTTTAAAAATCAGAAAGAGGCAAAAGCAAGTGTGCAAAATTCTTATTTGCCCTGTTCATGGGTAACAATAGAAAATAATCCAATCTAAGACTTCTTAGATGTCAAAATTAAAACTAGCACTAGAAATACATGAAGGAAAATCTCTGAAAACCAGATTATACTTCCATGTGAATATAGACATTTTCGTTAGAAGCTTTCAAATACTTTTTATAAAAATATGTCATTTTTAATATTTTATCTTAAAAGTAAAAAATCCACGGGTATTTTGATGAAGTCACCATGTATTTGTTTTAAGTGCCACCTCAGATTCTTTGTGCCTGCACAGAAAGGTAAGTTAAGCAAGCATGCAGATACTGAAGTGATCTGTTGGTTGAAAACAAGATGGCTTCCAAAATGTGTTAAAATACATTTTTAAAATTATATCATTAACCATTTGTAAAGCTTTACACTTCCTTATTACAAATCCCAGTGCTTTCAAACTAAGGTAATGAAAATTATTACAGAATCAGCCAACACGTAGCAAATACTTATGTGGACAAAGTATTTGTGCTATATTGTTTGTAAATATTATCTTTCAGTGTCTCTCAATAATCCTGGGGAATTTTCTATTACTATTATCATCTCTCCCAATGTAAGATATAGAACTAAAATTGAGTGTCACACAAGATTGCTCAAGTAGAGGGAGATGCTGGGATGGGAATCAAATTCAGATTTTTCTTATATCTAATCTATTTCAAAATTATAATACTACCTCTTTACTATAACATTAAACAGTCCTATACATGGCTAATCAGGTTATGTAAAGCTTTGAAAAAAACATGTAATTTATATATGGTATCTCTAGTGTTCAACTGAAATAGATTATTTAATTCTCTAGTTGTTTCTGTAATTTTAGTTCATTGGAGCCACTTTTTAGTGATTTTCTGGGGAAAGGGCCACCTGTTTACTTGGAGGAGATTTAATTTTTATAGGAATCATAGGTAGGTTTCATAATTCTAAATTGTAAAACTTTTGAACTAGAAATGCCTTTAGAAATATTGCCCTCCTCTTTAAAAAATAATTTTACAGAGGAAGAATCTTGGGGAGGCCAGAGGGGCTTAGTGATTTACCACATACACGATTAGGTAGAAGAAATGTTGTCCTAGAACTTAGTTTTCTTTACTCGCATTCAAATGTTCTTCCCAATAAACTGCAGATGAGCATATGCTATGATTTTTTTTGGAGGTTTGTCTGGACCAATAGCTGAGATGTAAGCGGTTCTTTTAAGTGATTTGGGCCTGTGAAGGAGTCACAGAGACATGAATTAGAGGACTACTCTGCAGCAGTGTGTTGGCCTCTAGGGAATACTTCTGATCCTCATAGAACACTTGTAATCCATTCATTCAATTATTCAAAATATATTAGTAATCACCAATTGTTCTATATACCAGCAACGGACAATTGGAATTTGAAATTTAAAATACCAGCCATGAACAATTGGAATTTGAAATCTAAAACACAATGCCATTTATATTAACACACACGCACACACAAATTAAGTGAATTTAACAAAATATGTATAAGATCTATATGAGGAAGAGCACAAAATGAATGAAAGGAATAAATCAAAGAAGATCTAAATATATGGAGAGATATTCCATATTCATGGCTAGGAAGACTCAATATTGTTAAGATATCCATTGTTTCCAACTTGATATATAGAGTCAATACGTTCCCAATAAAAATCCCAACGTATTTTGTGAATATCAATCAAATGATTCTAAATTTTTTATGAAATATAAAAAGACACTAAATAACCAGCAAAATATTGAAAAATAAAGTTAGAGGATTAACACTATCTGGCTTCAAGATTTACTATGAAGCTGACAAAGATACTATAGAAGATATAGAAACGTGCCACCTTATTTCTGCTTCTGTGCTGAAGGTTGTGCTCTCCAGTCCAGGAGATTCTTTCCTAGACAATAATGTAGAATCAGAGCTCTCCAGCAGCCTTTCTTCACCCCACCAAGAGAAGAATTGTGTATTTTTGCTATTTAATCTACCTTGCCTGGGTCTCATTGGACAACATTTCTATATTAAATTCTCAAAAAATTGTATCATCTATAGATTATATAAATTTTCTCATCAACTTTCCAACACAGTTTTCTTTAATACTCACTTTGTATCGATGTGCTTAGGAGTCAATGTCAATTATAGCAATAAACAAAGTTATTTTCCTAGAGAAATATGAAAGCTGTTTGATTCTCATTTTTATAAGTATTTAGTA